TCTGGGATGGATGGTGGTGAGAATCCGGTTTCAAGTAAGCATCTGTATGGGTAACTTTCCTGTAGACAGAGTGGCTCATTGAACCATCATGTCTCCTTTTAATTAAGACATCCAAAAAGGGTAGTTTGCCATCTTTTTCGACCTCCATGGTAAATCTGATGGCTGGGTGTATGGATTTGATGTGGTCGCGGAATTGGTCTAGAGCAGGCTGGCCATGTGGCCAGATGACAAAGGTGTCATCAAAATAGGATATATATTTTTTATGTATTTAGGTGTATTATGTTCGGAATGAAGCTGGAGTTGTAATGTTATTATTTTTAAGCCAATTAGTAAGGTTTGTCACGTAAGCAGTAAATGCCAATTCGTTACTAGTGTAGTGAGCGACTTCCGAGACATGGTGTGTAGGGGGCTCCTTGTTTATTCCTTACACTTTACAGGCACAATCATTGAGCGCATACATATACTGGGCTACACATAGCCGATCCACTTACAAAGCCCCATTGCCCGCGTCTAACTATATAGCCGGCTGACTTATACAGCGACGATGATGATGGGAGCTGCCATGCGGCCTGGCGATGAAGAAGAGATGGCGGCGAAGACAGCAATGGCAACCCATGACAGCCCCGAACCTCCGGTCACGTTCCCCTTATATACTCCTCAGCATGGCCAAGCCCCGTCTCCGGCCACGCCCCCTTCTAGAACCTTCGAGGAGGTTCTCGGAGCTTCCCGACTGATCCCCGCCTCTGACCTTTAGCCAAGTTATGCCCCGCTTATGGTTGGCTATTATATAACGCACCCAGACCCGTAATTATCCCTCCTGGTCAACAGATGGCACCCTGTCACTACACTAGTGTAGTTTCAGTCAGTCAGAGACGAGGTTTGTAGAGGCACCTTCTTTATTGAACACACACGATCTTGCCTGCACACTATAAAGTTGCTAGCCTATACACAACACTAGCCATCTAACATCGACGGCTAACAGGCTATCTAGCAGCGCAATATCGAGCAAAGGCGGCAGCGACGATGGCAACGAGACGACAGCAACGACGAGAGGATCCAATCCCAAGACCAGCAGCCTCGAGCTCCCGCTCTCGGCCCCACTAGCAGGTTCCAGGGGCTTCCAGATGGGCCCTCCATGACTCTTGACCCAATTCCTCTGCCCTGCCGACACACCCATGTATATGCTCACCGGCGTGTGTACTGTTTGTCCACCGCAGTTGCCGCTGATGGTCACCAGCCGGCGCTATTACACTACATTAGTACAGCACACCGGTGTGTTGGAGAGCAAAGCCTCAACATTACAATCTGAGCCACAACATTGTTAAAGTTGTGGCTTTGCCCTCCAACATACCGGTGTACTCTGCTCGTGTAGTGTCTTGTTAAATTGCTCACACCGACACGTTGTAACAAGTCACCTGCTTACACTTTTTTTGACGTGTACTCGCGCCAGTTGTAGGCACTCCTATAACTATCTATATGGTCACCTTCACTTGACTTCTCCCCACTCTTTTCTATTCTGCACCGCGATTTTCCTGCACTTAGCAACTCTGCACTCAGCAGCTCTGCACTCAGCAACTCTGCACACAGCAACTTCGCACTCAGCGACTCTGCATCTCCACCGCTGCCCTCACCTACGCTCCCTCATACCCACTCACCCGTCTGTCCCGGGCGGGGGGTTCAGCCAACACCCGCCCGGCGACGGTGTGAGGGTTGAAGTCCCATTGATGGCTTGAGCAGCAGCGGCGAGATGTCTTCACTCTTTGTTCCCGGGCAACTCAAATCTCCGCTTACGCATACTCCCCCTTATATATCCATACTAATTCCCCACATGCTTCCATTTAAGCTGCTGTCTGCCCGGCGCCCCTCGTCCTCGCTAATCCTTATCATCACCCCCATCTCCCATCTCCATGGCGCCAACCCCATGTTCCCACGTGCACACCTGTTCGACCTCAGTTGCACCCGCTTCTCCCCTTAATTACTGGTGGTTTGTCGGTGCAAACCTCATGTTGCAATGCACACATCTGTTCGACCTCAGTTGCACCCGCTTAACAGCGTGCACCGCGTATATCTCTCCTCTACACTAGTAATGAATTGGCATGTTCTGCTTACGTGATATGTCAGGTGGTGGTGGGTTTAACGACACATTTACATATTTACGCGATCTAACCTTAAAAACATGTATTATGGATGATATTGGTCGTGTTAATGATTAATTGAATGTGCACTTAGTGGATTTCATTTAGTCCCACTTTTCCATCAATATTCGCAGAGCCCAGCGTGCAAGCGACCTATTTCCTTCCTGAGGATTGGTTACCCCAGCCTAGAATAGGTTGCTCAATACTGTTGACAGAGTCATGTGAGCAACTGACCTACCCATTCCTGGATGGTTGATTACCCCCAGCTTGGAGTAGGTTGCTTGGTTATTGCCTTGTTCTATAATAGAGCCATTTGGTGAACCGAACCCACCCTGCCTTGGGGGTTGGTGACCCCCAGCTCCGTGTGTGTTGCTCAGTATTCACTTGCTTGTGATTATTAATAGTCATGTGAGTAACCGACCTCCTCTTCCTCCCTGGGGCTCATCGTAGTTTACTCGGTTTTCACTTAGTGGGTGGTTTTAGCCAGCGAGTAACCATCCTACTCCAAGTATTCATAAATTAATAATTGACTTGAATTCGCACTATGGGGTTTAGTGTAATTAGGATTTACCCATAAGGGTTCGTTGTATGTAATTATGAATCTAGTTCAGTGTTATTTAATAGTCAATTATATTGGCATGCAATTGTCCTAGAGATTATATCACAGCCACAACACTGAAGCACATTGCTGCTCTTTGGAACATACATTTCCATTTTGATTATGCATAGGTAGCAATACAGTTATTTATATGCATTTATCCGCTGAGCGTTATTGTGCTGAGAATAAAAGGTCTATGTTTTCGCTACATTCAGGAATGCACTTTCCTCCTCTTAAGATATTTCTGCTAGAAACTATTCTTAAAGAGCCTCAGCACCATACTCGGCCATAATGTGTCGTTTGCAAAATATCGTCAGGTTCTGCAACTTTCATATCAGGGCTTTACGACTGATTGCACCACCATTGAGCTGTAACATAGCCAACACGGTGGCGTGTAACATAGTATCGATAAGGCTCGCTTATTGCATCTCACTCCTCTATGGGACGTCTGCCAAAAATATTACCAAGCTGCAGCGTGTACAACATTATTTGGCACGTGTCGTGACGAGCACTGCAAGATCCGACCATGTCCGTCAAGTGTTCACTGAGTTACATAGCCTTCCGATTGTTGAACCAATACATAAGGTCGCACTCATTACACACACATTGCTTGCCACAAATGAACCACAATACCTTTCTGATCTCGTCAGGGAACATAAACCATCACGCGAACTCCATTCATCCCCGCAGCGGCTTTTGGCTCGCGATCGAACAAAGACGATCACTGCATCGTGCGCTTTCGGATGTGCTTCTGCGGCCGTCTAGAACGCTCTCCCTTCCGATGTTAGGAAGTCATTGGAGCAATGCACTTTTAAATATAGATTGAAAACTAATTTCTTTAAAACTTCGTTTTGTATTTAGTTTGTTGTCCTTCCCCTGCACCTCCAATTACCACGGGTGGCTGTGTACAGTGAGAAAGAAATTCAACATACATATATTTTAACAAGTGTTCAAATATTATTGGTTCTTTCGGTAAAGTCACATAGAAGGGAAACAATAAAATTATAAAACAATTAAATTCTCACGACGTTTCGACTGCAACACAAGCAATCATCATGAGGTGTGAAAACCACAGCAAGAATATTGTGGTGTCCATCTTATCTTATCTGAGATAAGATAAGATGAACACCTCGTATTGTACGAAAAGTAATCGATTTGTACATCAGGCGACAACCCAGCGTTCTGATTTATTTGAAATCAAACGCCTCCCAGCCAATCAGAACGCTCCTGCTCTCCCGTGCGCTCGGCAGGTGACCGGTGCGCAGGGGGAGGGGGTGGAGGGTGGGGGGCTACTGGTGGGGGTTGCCATGCACGAGGTGGGGTGGGGGCGGGGCACCCCTGGGGTGCAAGGTAAAGTTGTTGGGGGTAGGACCAGTCTCTCAACGGTGGGTAACTCCCCCACGTCTCTCTGTGATTGGCTGGAGCCCATGCCACAAAAGCATCATCATTGCAGTACCGTACAGTATAATTTTTTCAACATTTTTCTTGCTTTCCAACATTCTGGCTCACAAAACAAAATCAATTGGCATATTTGTCCACACGACAACCTGATTGTGTTGCCTTTCTCGGGTGGTGGATGGTTATAAAAAAAAATGTCATACCTATGCAATCGAGCCCAAAATAAACGAATTATCAATAATAATAGTGTTCGGAAGAGCGCTCATATAAAATGAAATGTAAGCCTGCATGAGATGGAATTTCTTACTGCATGCAGTATTGATGCAATATTGCTCCACATGTGAGGGACATCTCATTTGAAATAAACATTTTCAAATGTTGCATTGTATTTTAGATCTTGATATAAACATTCGTGAGCAAGGAGTTAATTGAGCCGTTTGCCTGTGGGCTTAGCAACTACGTTGCTTAAACAACAACATACATTAAGAGCAGTACAATGTCCTTATTGGCAATGGCAGAATGCTAGATGAAAAATAAATATCATAGCAATATACAGAATGTTCTCATAATATTGCACTTTTGAAAACTACCATAACCTATTTTACATTGAGATGATTAATGTCATTAATTAACAATATACTGCATACCTATGTTTTGTAGATATTCATAAGACTGATATATGTAATACGAACGTTATTATATAAAATCATCATCTTGCGCTGCTTTACCATATAGCTTGACAATTCCAATTACGCACATTTCAGTGAAACAATACAAATGTTTTTTTACTTGAACTGCTCGAATGACTCTTTAAACTGCATTCCCTGCCAATAATGCCAGGATGATTTTGCTGACCCCGTGATCCTCAGATGATGCGCTGATTTGGGAGGATTTGCTGTCCTTGCTGCCGGCGTTGTGGGAAGGTAACGGCATCGGAGAGGAGCTGGGAAAGGGGACGCGTTTCGAGGTGGTGCTCACCGCTTCGGAGGGTCATGGGAAACACGCGGGCCTCACGCAGGTCTGTAGCAGCCTCTTCTTTGGTTCTTTCGGTAAAGTCACGTAGAATGATAATAAAATAATAAATTGATAAAATAAAATAACACAATAATATTCTCACGACGTTTCGGCCACAACACAAGCGGCCTTCATCAGGTGAAGGGGGCGAGACTGTCTGGTAGGACAGCGCTGGAGTGAGAGAGCCACGTTCAGATCACGGTTTTTAAGCTGTGTGAGAGGAACAAAGAGCCTTGACAAAGGAATTAGCATAAAATTTAGCATTGAAATGGCTGAATGATTAGCTTGTGACTGGTCACAGAAATAGCTATGTTAAAAGTTAAAGCATACACATCCGCAGAGGCACCCATTGTTAAAAGGAATTAGCATAGAATTTAGCATTGAAATAGCTAAGTTAAGGCATACACATCCGCAGAGGCACCCCTTGACAATGGAATTAGCATAGAATTTAGCATTGAAATAGCTGAGTGATTCGCTTGTAACTGCTGTAGCAGCCTCCCCTCCGCCTTATCGTCCTCCTCGTTGTCTATTTGTCTTTTCCCCTGGATTATCTCACAGGAGTTCGTATAAACGTTTAGATACATTTAACAGGGACGATTGGTGAGGAGACTAAGGGCAGAGCCAGTGAACGTGATGTGGAATAATTATGACAATTAATAAATTAATGTTAGATCGCGACTCATATCATTTTCATGGAAAGTAAGTGTTAAAAAATTTTACATTGAATGTACTAGTGTTTGTACTGTAATAATTTATTGTTCGTTATGGCAAGTTGGAGTATATAGATACACGATGCATATTTTCTGCCATTGGAATATCAAATGACAGTCATAAGTGGCCCTGTTATAGCCTATTCATGATGAGGTCATTATGAAGCATATTCAGTCGAATGATTGACCCACTGGCAGTTTGATGACTTGTCGCAATTGAGGGCCATTATTAGGTTTTAAGAATATCGATACATTTTCATTTTTGTCGTGAATGGTAGCACCTCTTGTGGCTGCAGGGTCTGCATTAACTTATTTGATGCCACACATATGAATAGAAAAACGTGGAATTGTTTCCACATTATTTGATGGATGTATCGTGGGCTGAAATACTTTAATTGTTACATGAATGATTGAATAATTCCATACCTGTTTAAAACATGAATTGATGGCCATCTCTCGAATCAGTGGACCTCCATCTTTGATGTATTTTCGGGTAGTACTGTGTGTTGTTCGGCATCATGTCCGACGTTTTATTCGCCTACATCAGTGGGCCAGCCTACATTAGCAGCAGCAGGCAACTGCTCAGTTCGATTCCTGAAGAAGCTCTCAGTACGTGGAGAAATTGTCGGACATCATACAGAACAATACACGATACAAAGGGAAAACACATCAAAGAGCTGTGCAGCACAATCGTGAAGACCTATACATCAATGGACCTCCATGTTGAACTGTACAATACTGATGGAGTTGGCTGTCTGTATTTTTGAAACTACGTCGTAAAAATTTTAAATCAATGCCCATAGAGACGTACTTAGTGAGTGAGGGAACACCACAACATTATGGCACGGAAATCAAAGGCTTTGGGTAAGACTTTGATCAGTGCCATCTGGCAGGGTTCTAGACCACCTTACACATGTTGTCCACATTTGCTGAGCATGTGATGTAATGGTGAGGATGATCTTATGTACTCTTTTAAAGGCATGTAAGGTACACCTCAGATGGATTTAATTGCGGTTGTACTTATTTTCAAAGGAAGATGGTACATTGCACGGGCTCATTAGACATTACACAACACCAAAAATGGTAACAGATATGAGGATGTTGTGAATTCCAGTAAATATTCTCCCTGCCAACCATGTACCCTCTTGGCTCAGTAAACTAACCATGTTTAAACCGTGTTTAGTTGTCATGGTTGAAGTGGTTATTAAAATATTGAGTGAATTAAGCTTCTAATTTTATGTCTATAAAAACTTAGATTCAGTCCCATAGGTGAATGAAGGAACAAATATTACCACAATAAATTTTGATTTAAAGCTTTCGTGACTGCAGGGATTCATATTCTTGGTTCTTTCGGTAAAGTCACGTAGAAGGGAAACAATAAAATAATACAAATATAAAACAATACAATTATCACAACGTTTCGATTGCAACACAAGCAATCATCATCAGGTGTGAAAACCACGGCAAGAAAATTTGAAAAAATTTAACCTTTCTCCTGATTATACATTGTCCATGAATGTCTAACAATATGACATTTCAGTTACAAGACCTACTTGTTTGCAAAAATACTAGAACGTTTTCAGACCACACTGACGTACATTATATAACATTTGGCTGTGGCATTCTATTATAACTACAAAGAATTGTGGCTGATTTTTATTAAATGGAAACTTTCAATAGATGTCCTGCCAAAGGTGTAATTTAGTATCATCAAACTGTACAGGAAAACACGTGGAAGCCTTATGAGGACAAAGTTGGTATTTCACATTCAAAGCATGTCAATTATGCCTTGAGGAAGAGCACCAATTACATGCACATTATCTCCCACCCTTCTGCCTCAGGAAAGTCTGCACTACTGAGATCCTGGGTGGAAGTTGTTAGGGGTGCCACAGTGGTGAGGTGTTAACTACCTCGCCTAGTATATAGGAGGTCGTAGTTTCGATCCCGACCCTGATGCTTGTATATTTGGAGTTTGCATGTCTCTCACTCTCCGTGGGCGCGTGGATTTTTCTCCAGGTTCTCTAGGTTTTCCCTCCATAATTATAAACGTGCTTACAGTATTTATCTGCTCTACATTTCCACAAGATAAGCCACTTCGTTCTGTCTTTCAATTGTGGCCAAGTCGCTTATGAAAAAGAGGTAAATAGCTCAGTGGGCCTTACCTGGTAAAATAAATATTGTTTCGCATAGTTTTTAATTGGTGGAATATTTTCAAAACTTGAGTAGCATACTGGTTAGACAGTGGGCTCGCATACAAGGGCTCATTTATTTTGTGTTGAGGAAAGTCCTGGTTTGTATTTGCTTGGGACAAGTCCAGCCAAGAGTGATGCTTCATGCTGTGACTGGGCACTCTGCAACATGGCCAGATGAACCAGAAATATTCAGAATAAGCCGTAACAGAGTTTATTACCATGAAACCAACTTCTTTATTTGCTTACATTTTAAGATTGTTTAAATTGTCCCGAACAATGTTATCACTAATAACAAAATTATTTTTGGGCACATGTTCGATATAATTTATCAAAACTATCACAATATCGACAAACCAGCAAAATAAATGTTTGATTTTAAAAAGCAACTTTGAAAAAGGTTTACAATTTTTTTAAATGTATATATTTCTACCCCTTTCCATACACAGTTTATACCACAGCAATTGAGATTGGAAGCACCTGGTATACTTGAACAAACATTGCACACTGCTTCCATCAAATAATTAATTACATTCATAAAATAAATTCTAAAAACAGTGTATATCCTGTCTCCATCTCTGACACCTCATTTACACACACATGTGCATGTAGGCCCATGCTTCATGAGACTCTTTTAAATAAACATTGTATAAATCTTGACTTAAAGCTTGACTTGTATAAATGTCATTCAGGGTTGAGCAAGCATAGTTAAATTTCAGTGGCAATAGGCACAAGACAATGAGAAAAAAACTTTAGTACAACTGTAGTGTATTATGAAAACAATTCTCTTGTGAAAAGTCATTTATGTTATAGGCGATGTAATTCAAATATATTATTGTTATGAGTGTGTGCATGCAGGCTTCCACGATAAGTATAATCATCATTAGCAGCAGTAGCACCAGCAGTAGCCAGGATCAATCCACCAAGTATACAATGTGTATACTTTAATTATGCAAGTGTAAATTTTTTTCAGTTAATTCAATGTCTTGTATTTATTCATAGTGCCATGCCAGGCAGAGATGCACGCCAACATGTGGTTGCGGGCAGCGTAAGTGCAAGGCTGCCCAACGTTATATCTTGGATCTCATTCGTGTATGTAGTTGGTGGAATGCAATCGTTGTTTTTTCAGCTGAAGCCTTGCCCAAAGTGCTGCCAATCCAAACCTAATTGTGCAGGTACTCAATTAACGTATAACTTATTAATAGTATTCAATACTTTAACCCTTTTGTGAAGCGTTTTCAAGACTTCATAATACTCTGCTCCTGTATTTCATTGTGTTAGATCCTGCATTGTTTCAAGTTCCTGGTTCAGGAAAGAATAAACCCCAAAGATAGGAATCCTGATGAAGGTTTTGGTGGAAACAGATTTTTCTACAAAAATTCCGGACATACAGTAACAGCCAATTCATGAGACATTGTTGATTAGGGTGTGTTTTTTCCTACCAAATATTGAATTTAACCCTGCAAATCAATTGAACATACACCAAACATTTATACATATTTATTATATATTCTTCTCTCTGGGAATTATTGTAAATGTTACACCTTGATAATTTTTACTCGGTTGAGATGCAATCTCACTTTTCTTCAAGGTCAATAATTCAGTGATAATTTCATCTGGCCATGATTTTCAAATCAGTAGTTGTGGATGTGGTTCTGGTTTCCATCCAGTCTTCCATCAGAATGAAAAATGAAGCTGGAACAAAACTACATTCCATGAAGATGAGGATGAGGCCTCATGTCTTTTGAAATCTTATGGTATTACTTTATGTAAATATATTGCATTTTTTAAAAAATACTAAGATACTTTTTTAATGGCAGTATATTCACATTTTTTTTTACAATAATATGATGTTAATATTGATATGTGCTTTGAAGATATTACTATTGAAAAGGTGTTTGGATGTATTTATGCTATAGACTTGGCCTGTTGCCATGTGTCAATGAAAGCCAGTCATGGGTTTAACTTCATGGGAGAATTGTTGTATGAAGGGCCAAATAGTCACAGCAGGATTAAATGTCTTCACTTTGCACTCATTCGGAATGTTCCCCTGGATGCCATTTACGGAGTCAAAATCCAAATCATGTAAGGCAAGAAAGAATTCT